CAAGTTTGGTCTTTTGCAAAGGAACAAATAGTCACTTGGCTCCATCAGGGCCACCACACATTACCATCTCGAAGGTGGACTCTAAACTTGAACAATAAGGAAATCCATAGTCCACAGGGCCATTACGATGATTGAAATAATGGATGGTGATGGCAAGCGAGTAGGTCATGTCATGCTTTGTCTCTCTCTATCTCGCTCTCTCTCTTCATTATTTAACTACGCAATATGAAGACGATATGAATTAAGTCTATTCATAGTCCCTACGAACAGAGTACACGTCCACTGTTCACCAAAATCAATTACTATGAGCTGGAGAACGCAACTAAAATTTGCATAATTGATTCGTGATTTTTTTTTCTCTGTTGTTTTTTATTTTTTTGAGTAAATCGGTGGGCATTGTTTTTTTTTTTTTTTTGGGTTAAATCAATGGAGATTACGGTCCTGCCCATAAGAGAATGGAATATGAGACTTCATCATAAAACTCAGATGATATTACCACCACGTCACCAGCCCCATTCTCATTGTTTACATCATTGTTTATAAAAAGCAGGGTTTAAAACGCAGGATCGGGTCTCGGATCCATTTGGTTCGGACGGCTCACACATATCCAATAGAAAGACAAAAATAAAAAGCATTAGAAAAAAAAAAATTAAGGTTTTCAATGGACACACGTTCGGGTGGGATTTGTATCACCAAACACTTCAACAGCATCCACAACTAAACGTCATCAAGCTTCATCTTAGAGAGCTTGTATAATCTTAATCGTAAAACATGAGATCTAAACATTTGTATTATAAGGGTGCAGTTGGCATACGGATGCATCCGTAGCTATAGAGGTAAGCTGCACCTTCAAATTTTATCATGATATATAATTTTGATGTAAAATGTTCTTAGGATTATCTCAAAATCTATTTTTATATCTAATTATAAACTTTAAAATTTTAAAAATAGTTAAAATCAAGTAGATCTATAAACATATGAATATCTTAAAAATGGATGGTGTAGATAATATGTAAAATGCACCATTTCTGAGACTTAAAATCTTTTTATTTTTCATGGTCATACATCTCGATGTCGAGATGATAAATCAAAAGGTTTTTCAATATTAAAGCTACCTTTTCCGATGGATTTTTGAGGTGCATCCATAGTTCTACATTATAAGGTTGCATCCTTATATAAAGTTTTCCCGTATTATAATGAGATTGTATCTCCTTATCTCTCGTAATACTATCATAGGCCTAAACAACTTATTTGAAAATGGGTTTTAAGATAAAGGAAAGGTTTATATGCTTCCCCTACATCATAGAAGTTCTATCCTCCTTCTACCATCCAGCCGTCCAATTTTGATCAAGAGAGTCACTCACCGTTTGAACTTAGATCCGATGTCTCAAAGTATCTTATTTTTAGTTTTTTTTCTATACAATTTGTAATAATATGAAATTTGGTACATGCCATCTTCTCATTGGGTAGAACCTACAAAAAATATTAAAAATAATTTGTTGATAAAATATAATGATCAAAATACCCCTTGAAATTTTCAAGGGTATTTTGGTCTTGTTATTTTATTGAAAATATTTTTTTTATATTTTTCACTAGTGCAAGTTTAATAAAGGAATAGACGTCCAAAATTTGGTGTCAAAATAGTTTATAGAAAAAAAACTTAAAAATAAAATAGTGTAGAGATGTGACATTGTGATTGGGACAATCTTAGCTCTCCATTCAGAATGGACGGTTGGATAAGTGGGAGGATAGAACTTCTATGTTGTAGGGGAAGCATAGAAAGCTTGCCCTTAAGATAATGGACAGTCCACGTCAATGTTTGAACACAAACAATATTGGAAAGGGTATTTCCATTTTAAAAAAGTAAATATATGTTCTTTTGTTTTGGGGGTATTTGCTAGAAAAATATTTTTTAGGATAAAAGTTGTGAAAAAAAGTTTAGTTGGGAGGAAGTTGCTTAGAAAGCTCAACTTGGGGCTATTTGCAATTTTTCCTATTATATATAATGTCATGCAATACCTGCTTAGTCTGCTGGTCCTTAGCCCTCGGATACCAGATTGTGCCATGTTCCTTTATCTATCCGTTATGGAAAAAGCCATGGGGCAATGTTGGGGTAATCAGAGGCCAATATGATATTTAAGGGAAAGAACACACAATCCACCCAGAGATAGATGAAGTCATAAAGAAGATGCACAACGAAGGAAACTTACTGGGGCAGCTACCCTAGCCCATAAGATACATTGTCGAGCATATTTCTTTGATAAGAAGTCAGACTTCTAAAAAAACCATGGTTGCGGCATTTGTGTAACCCCAAATTTTTGCACACACACTTTATTCATCCCAATAATCATTTCAAAAACTAGATGGTGATTGGTGATTCATGTGATGGCGAGAGCGAGGAAGATGATGGCTTGATGCCTGTAGTTTCAGTATGATATGACTTATCAGGTGGTTTACTCCTGGAAGCTCATTTCCCTATGGTAGGTTCATTCTCCCCTCCCTCGAATGATATATTTGGTCTTAGTGACTGGGCAAAAAGATGATGGGGTTTGTCATATGTTCCAAAGGTTAAAGTCTTGGGGGATAACAAGATTGTTTTCCTGCTGCTTGCTAAAGGAGATGTTAGTAAGGCTTCAGAAAATAGGTTTGTTAGAATTCAGGATAAGCTTTTATCCTTAGATCTATGGAAGCCGTCTTCTCATTGCTCTTATATTCCCAAAGAAAGTTTATGGATTACATTGACAGGGATTCCTCTTCACGCATGGTCATTAGACATTATTTGTAAGGCGGCTAATTGTTGTGGGGAGTTTTGCGACATTGACGATACATTATTTCGAGGAGTTGATTTGAACTCTGTGAGAGTATGTATTTGGAAGTGGAAAGGGGCCCTGATCCCCAAATAGATTAGATTATTGGTGGGCAAAGAATCTTTTTCTATAAAGATCTCTTCTAAGATTAAAAATCCTCTCTCTAACCTGATGGTGTTAAAAACTAGGGAGAAGAATGCTAAGGAAACTGAGGGGTGGAGTCAAGTTATTCAGCGACGTAGGAGAAAGAGATCTTTACACAAGGTTTTTCCGACGAATAATCCAAGCAATTTTCCATCAAGGACTCATCGGAGATTATTTTGGAAGGAGGTGGAAATTTTTCGAAGTTTGAAAATTACAAAACAATGGATCCCAGTAGACCGTTTCATGAATGGAACGCCACCTGTGGGGCATTCTGTTACTAAACAGCCTATGAGTCCAATTCAAGGTGTAGTCCTTCAGGGACCACAAAGTCCTTTAGTTGTTCCTATTTTGCATGGCGACAGCATATCTCCTTTCGATATCGCTGCACCTACCTCGAGGAAGGCAATGGACAACGTGGCAGATGCCTCTGATTTTCTACCGATGACTTCGATATGTAAGAAGACTTTCATTCCTTTCCCTCATCTTCCTGCGGATGCTACTAATGCGATGGTTCAAGCTAAGAAAACTAGTGCGTTTAGTACCTTTTTGTGGGTGGCAGCAGCCATTGTTTTCACAGGACAAAAGCATTGTTGGGTGCTTTCTTTATTGTTACTTTCATTAGCGAAGATGTATCCCTTGTTCCATCGCCAGGCCTCTAGGAAGGCTCGCAACTCTCGTCCTCATACCAACCGTGGATTTGATCATCTGTTGATCAATCCTCTAGCTTTGGTGGTGATTGAGGTGGGGGAAGTTCAGGTGGACATTGGGGAAGGTGAATTCATTCCTGAAATATTGGAACTTGGGGGTATGTCTGTTGTTATTGGGGAACCTGTTGAAACTGAGCCCAATAATGTAGCAGTGGTGGAGATGGATGCTACCAGCCCCATCACTGTAATCCGTCAAGATGAAGGGCCGCTGCTGATTGGCTTCACTACGTCTTCCCCAACTCATGTATCTTCGTTTATTTCTTCGACTATGGCAGACCCTCTACTTCCTCTTGATCCGAAAACTATATCAGATTCAATGCCTACGCCTGTTATGGAGGAGACGGTAGTTGCTTCAATCTTCTCTGATAGTGGGATGGACTTCAATATCCCTATCGGTGTTGTTTTTAAGGAGCTCATCACTAAACAGAAGAAAGGTAAAGAAGGTGTAGGACCCAAAAAAGCTAAAGTTATTGATGCTGAGGGCTCTAAGAATGATGATGCGGTAGTAGAAAGAACCCCAATAGCAAAAAGGAAATCAAAAGCAAAAGACAAAGCAGTGGCTATGGGAACGAGGACCTCGGCTAGGTTGCAGGCTCAGGGGGAGTCTAGAGCTCAACACATAGCAAGAGGCATTGTTATTGGTGATGTACAGGCAGTTGAAGTTAGTTCAGGGACTTCGTCAGAGGCTGAGGAAGACATGGAGAATGCTATGCTTACTGACGATGCCTTGCCTCATTCAAACTGGGATGGGCTAGGATCTTCTTCCACTAATCCCTTTTCATGAATATTATCTCTTGGAATGGTCTGGGTGAGCTAAAATGTAAAAATGATGTTTTGTTGTTAGTTTCCCATTTTAAACCTTCGGTTCAAATTTTGCAAGAAACTAAACTTCCCAAACCCTTTGTTATGAGTGCTCAGGAAGTTTGGGGTTAGTCGATTTTTCGGGTATTGATTCTGTTGAGGCGTCCGGTGGGTTATGGATTTTATGGGATCCCACTTGTTTGAAATCATTTTGGTCTGTTGTTAAAGATAATTTTATTATGGTTGGTTTTGAGGGGGGTGCTTCTGATTTATGTTGGGGTCTTTTGAATGCCTATGGTATGCAGGAGTGGAGACAAAAGCAAACTTTTATTAATGAAATATTTGTTTTTATAAATTCTTTTAATTATCCATTGTGTTTTGGGGGGAGGGGGGGGGGGGGGGTACGTTCAATTTACTAGATGGCATGTTGAGAGTTCTAGTGGAGGCTCTATTACGTATGTGGTGCATCTTTTTAACAGTTTTATTGAGTCCAATGCACTGATCGATTTCCCTATTTCTGATACTACTTTTACTTGGACTAATGGCAGTGCCTCCTACTTATCGATGTCTAAATTATATCATTTTATTGTCTTTGGGGATTGAGCTGATTTTTTTTCCTTTAGCCTCTGTTAAAGCCTTACCCAGGCTTTCTTCAGATCATACTCCCATCCTCTTGTGTACCAAAGTACGCTCAATTGGTCCCGAGCCTTTGAAGCTTGAAACCAGTTGGCTGGTAGACAAGGAAGTGCTTGACCTTGTCAAGAGTGGATGGGAAAATTATATTTCCTTTGGTTCTGTGGATTTTCAACTCTATAAAAAGCTTTTATGCGTGAAACATAAATTGATCTCTTGGAGGAATGATAAAGGACCGAATGTAAAGGCAAAAATTGAGGAGGTGCTTAATTATTTAACTGATGTGGATGCTAGAATCCAAAACTCTCGCGTTTTCTTGGAAGAGTTAGCTGTAGCTAGGAGTTCCAAAATTAATGAGCTTCATGAACTTCGAAGGGTAGAAGAGGTGTATTGGAAGCAATGATCTAGGGTCAAATGGCTTAAGGAATGAGACTTAAATACTAAATTTTTTCATGCCACTGCTAATGCTAGGAGACGTCAGAATGATGTTTCTAGGCTTTTTATTGAAGGTGTTGACCCTGAAAATTTGGAGGGGTTGTCTAATGCAGTGGTAGGTCATTTTAAAAAAGCTTTCACAAACGAGGTTAGGGTCACACCTCGCCTTTCCAGGGTGGGTTTTAGCCATCTTGCTGCTGATTCGGTGGCATTGCTTGAGAGGGAGGTATCCTTAAAAGAATTAAAAAAAGCAGTTTTTGGACTCCCTGGCGATAAAACTCCAGGCCTAGATGGATTTCCTTTGTTATTCTTCCACAAATTTTGGAATTTGATTTCTTCAGAACTGTTGGATATGGTGAGTGGTTTTTTGTAGACAGTGGAACTTTTCAAAGGGGTTAATTCTGCCTATATCACACTTATCCCTAAAAAATCGGTCATTGGGTGCCTAGGAGATTTGAGATTTATTAGTTTTCTCTCGAGTCTTTACAAAATTATTGCCAAGGTTTGTGCCGAAAGACTCAAGAGGATCTTATCGGAGGTTATTGTTAGGCCCCAGTTTGCTTTCATCAATGATCGAATAATTACTGATAGTGTTTTGATTGCTCAAGAATATATTCATTCTAGATCTGTAAGTGGTGGTGCAGGGTTGTGATCAAACTGGATATGGAAAAAGCATATGATATGGTGAAATTGAATATTCTTCTTGAAATCATGAAGAATATGGGGTTTGGTGAGAAATGGAGAAGCTGGATGTTTGGATGCTTATCCTCTACATACTTTTCAATACTTTTCAAAGGCAGCCCTACTGGCTTTTTTGGTGCTTCGCATGGGCTTCGTCAAGGGGACTCATTATCTCCTTTTCTGTACACCATCTATGTTGAATGCTTTAGTCGCCTTCTTTACAATGTCCAAGCAAAAGGGCATGTTAAAGGTTTTCAAATGCCAAACAATGGTCCTTGTATTTCACATTTGCAGTATGCAGATGATACGTTGTTATTTTGTGAGGCCAATTGTGACCAAGTGGAAAATATTGTGAGTTTCTTACAATGTTGGGAAGTGGCTTTAAGGATAAAGATGAATTTTGAAAAATCAACAGCAGTTGGTATTAATTGTGTTGATTCTTTAATCTATGATATTGCAAGGGTTTTGGGGTGTAAGATGGATGTTTTTCCTATTTGGTAGTTAGGGATGTCAATCTCATATGGACATCTTCCTATGGCTGTCTGGTACAAAATCATTCAAAAAATTCAAGTCAAATTGGATCTTTGGAAGTATAAATATCTGTCTTTGGGTGGGAGGATTACTTTGATTAAAGCATGCTTATCTAATTTGTTAATATACCAAATGTTGTTACTTATGAGTCCCCCTCGGGTGGCAAAAAAATTCGAAACTTTGATGCACAACTTCCTATGGGGATCCTTTGATAAGTCCAAGAAATTCTATTTACTTCGATGGGATAGGGTATGCACTCCTCAGAGAGAAGGTAGCTTGGGCTTAAGAAAGATTTCATTGGTTAATCAAGCATTGCCATGTAAATAGTGGTGGCATAGTCTAAACTTCGAAGATCAGCTATAGTATCAAGTCATCATCGCCAAGTATGGAAAAGACAGTTTTCATATGTGGGCCGGTTTAAGAAATGGTACAAGGAGAGTGTCTTATTGTTGGAGATCTATTAATTCTTGCAAGAGTTTGATTCATAGGAATATTAGATGGAATTTGAGAAGTTGGCATAATATTTCCTTTTGGCATCATAAATGGCTTGGCGACTCCCCTCTAAAGTATTTGTTCCCTTTTGTTTACCAGTGAATGGAAAATTCTGATGTTGTATCTGACATCTTTGTCTTAAGAGGAAATCAAGTTGATTGGAATATTGTCCTTCCTTATAATAGAGTCTCAGAAGTGGTTTTTCAGGAATATGTTCAACTGCTTGCCCTATTACAAAAAGTCTATATCTCGCAAAATGCTTCTGATGAGGTAATTTGGGAGCAAGCTTTCGATGGAGTTTTTTAGGTTAAATCTATGTATAATTTGCTCTTTCAAGACCTATGGAGATGGTCCATGTCAGAAATTGCAGAAGTGTGGAAATGGCCTGTACCACCCAAGGTCAAAGCTTTCTTACGGCTGGCCGTGCAAGATAAGGTACTCACGATTGATAATTTCATCAAACGATGTAAGGTTTTGCCAAATATTTGTTTATTATGCAAGAATAACGCTGAAACAGGGGCCCATTTATTCTTGCATTACCCTTTGACACTACAAATTTGGCATTGGTTTTTTGTCCAATTGGGCAATACTATGATATTGCTTGCGGCTATACGATAGATTATTTCAAATTTAAGAGTCCTGTGGCTACCACCAACTAGTTTGGTTTTATGGCAAATTTCAAGATGCATGATTCTGTGAGAAGTTTGGAATGAGAGAAATAGAAAGGTGTTTGATGGGATTTGTTTGTCTGTTGGCTGCGTGTTGGATAAGATCTTACATTCCATTTGGCTATCTTGTTCTATTACAAAAGTGGGTAAAGACATTCTTGAGATGGATGTGAGGAGGAATTTTTCAAATGTCTTTCAGTTGAAACCTTTTACCTGCAGGCCTCAAGGGAGATGGACACCACATTTGTTTGGGGTTTCAAACTCAATTTTGATGGGAGTTACCCGAGTCCTATTGGATTCGGAGGAATAGTGAAAGATTGGAATGGACTAGTGATCTTTTGTTTTGTTGGACCTTTGGGTGTTAAAATTGCTAATTGTGTGGAGATGATGGTTCTTCTTAATGGGCTGAAATTGTTCACTGCTAGAAATTTTGACACGCCTTGTGTGGTGGAAGGTGATTCTCTTAATGTCATTAAATGATGTAAACTGGAGCAAAAACAACCCTAAGAACTCCGGTCTCTTTTGTTGGAAATTTTGGACTTAACTATACCTCTCTTTTGCTCTTTTGTTCATGTCTTTCATGAAGCCAACGGCTCGACAGATTCTCTTGCCAAAGGTAGAACAAGTTTATCTGGGACAACTATCTCTAACTCTATAGTTTCTTTTAGTTCATGATAAATAAAGCTTTGAACTTCTATCAAAAAATAATAGTAATCAATCCAAAAAAAATTGTAATTTGCACCTTACATATAATCAAAATAAGCCCCTTCTAATAATAAATCTAAACCATCCATTTCGTGATCTTTAACTTTATGAATTCAAAATTAAATTTTCCTTTTTTAGCATTGTTAATCTAATGATAATAAATCTATCTAAAAAAATTAGAAAGGGAAAAGATCCTTCTAAGGCTTAAATCTAAGATCGCACTAAATGGATGGCTTATATATTTTTTTATTAAAACGATTTTTTTGATTTGATTTGTAATTGAATCATCTAGTGCTGATGAATTCACTATAGAAGGACAGAACGTAATTGGTTGTACCTTTGACTAAGACCCAGCGAGTTGAGTGCATATGCACAAAGGCGACTTGAATGGTCTCAGCACATGCCTTACCCACTTAGATCTGGCAATCAACTATTAGCTTCCTAGAAAAACCATTAGACGATAATACCCGTCCCTCCTATATATATATTTAACTATTAGCTTATTAGAAAAACTGTCAGACGATAATACCCGTCCCTCGTATATATATAGATATGGAAAACACTACGCAACACCTATAGGCGAAAATGAGCAGTGATTTCGCCTACTCCCATCACCGTCCAAAGTTCATCGCGCGAACACGATTGTCTGCTAGTATTTCATTTTTCATTTTTTTCTACAAATCAAAATGACTTAAAATTTGACGCGTGTATTCACAAAACAAATAGGGGAATTTTTGAAAAATATAATACAAATATAAAATAGGGGAATCTTTGAAAAATATAAAACAAATATTTTATATGAAAAAATTGACCAAAATACCCCCAAAAATTTTTGAGGGTATTTTTGTCAATTTGTTTTTCACAGATAATTTATTTTTATATTTTTATTAAATGCGCCTCAATGAGATGTACATACCCTCCAAATTTCAAGTCATGCCAGTTTATAGAAAAAAATAAAAATAAAACACTACTGGACAATTGTGACTGCGCGATGAAACTTAGACGATGATGAAGGTAGGCAAAATCACTATT